GCATGTTGCATGAACATAGGTCGGATAGGTAGGACGGGTAGAGTAGACTGGGTGCTGGGCGCCAACAGAGAGGAACGACATTGAATACTGCGTTGGTGTGGTGTGGCCCGAGGGCTTGAACATTGGCTCACATGTTCATTGTAATGCTCTTATTTGGATGGAATCTTGGTGCATTTGAGCTCTCTGCTTGTTACATGACTATCTGGACTTCTGCATGATTTTGCGACTTGGTTTTCTATACATCGCTCTCGCTCATATTCCTTGCAGTATAACGTACCTGGGCTACCAGCCACCGTGCAAGGCAGTCAGGGTGGAAGGTCCCAGCATAACAAAAAAAAAAGAAAAAAGAAAAAAAACTGTTTTGTAAAACAATAAACTGCAGGACTTTTGCTCAGGGTCACATCAAAAACCTTGACCAAAAAAAAAATCTATATATTAATTGAAAAACAATTCTTTACTTTTATGTTTTTTTTTTTTTTTTTGGGGGGGGGGGGGCCACAGCCGGGCACGTGGTCATGGGATACTCAGGTAGCCTAGATACACACACTATAGGATGTCCAAGAAAATATACACATCTTACTGCCATGTGGACCTTTTGGGCAGGCGATATGTTCCACACACTCAGCAACAGGCAGCCAAGCGGCAGAATGATCCTTGTTAAACCACCCGTACATCCTGAAGTCGTGTCCGTTAACAAGCCACGATTTTAGGAAGTGTATGGCCACGATGTAAGGCCCAAATTCATCCGACTAGAAACGTTTCTACTTTATTTCCTTCTGTGGTCAATAGCTCGGCCAAGTACTGGTGGTTTAAGGTACATCAAAGGGTTCCTATCGCAATGGTTCCAACCATGGGTCTGGAACTCCATCCCAAAAAAACTCGCATAGCCGCTGTGGGAGAAGTATTCCGTTCCGCGGCACATGACAATCTCCACCTTGGCAAAGCCTCCGACAAGCATCCAGGAAGTAACAGACTAGTTTTGTAATTCGATCTCCCAAGATTGTGGCTGAACACCAACTCATCAGTGCCTACCTTCTTCCCCCGAACACAACGTACAGTCATTATCCAGCTATAATGATCGTACGTTGTATTCGGGGGAAGAATGTAACAATGGAATCAGAGGCATTCAAGAGGCGGAAAACAGAACAAGCAGAATCGCAGAACTCCCAACTGCTGGTGTAGGGCAAAGACTTCCCTGAATCTATCTGGCTATACGTACACAATTCAGTCAAACACTATGTGCAAACAGGTAAGATCCCCGGACAACGCGACGATCACAGAAACTACCAACTCCATCGTACAATCAGGGGAGCAGCACGTACAACAACAGCGCGAGGAGCTTTGCTTGACGTGTTACACCATGCACGGACTACATACATCAATCAAGAAATGGTCAGGCCAGGTCAAATGCTTGTTACACATCACCCAAAAGGTGAGTGAATATTGCATAACATCCTATGTAGCAAAGCACCCATGCTATAGACTCACATATGAGCCATCACCCAAAGAGACTATGCCAGCTGGATTGCCCAAACAACGCCTCTCACAGCAAGCGCAGTATGAGCACACGCATGCTCAATTTCTCACAGACTGTGAGAAACAGAACGCAGGTGAGCTCCCTGTCCTCCTGGCATACACTGTTTTCTTGGTAACTGGAACAAAACTTCACTGTCTTTTAAAAGCCAAAACTTAAACTCAATTTATCTTTCACAAGTATTTGGCTATCTTTTAAAAATATTTGATGTTCTGAAGAATTGAAGGGGAGGTAAAGGTGCAAGAGGTACATTTGGCGTCCTAAAGGAGTGGAGGTAAAGTGGCAAGAGGGAAAAGTGACACACTGCTCAGGGTTTTCTCTCTTCATGGCCTCTTCATACTGAAGCTTTCTCGTTTCCCCTCTTTTTTGCCTGAAGGGGGCAGACCCTAACATTACTGTATGTATCCCATCTGATCGGGGCATGCCTCGCATACAAAAAATAAATTGTTTTTTTTTTTTTTAAGGGCATTCTACTCTTTGTACGGAGGTTGCGCTCCGTGTTCTACTCCGTTGTACTCTACCAGCAGTACCACTTTTGTACCCCCAAAAAACACAAAAAAATCAGAAAATTGAAAATTCTATAAAAAAAAAAGAAAGTGATAGAAGAAGACATTATTCTGAACAACTTTTGCCTCAGACAATAAGTGGAATTCACAACCAAATTTGAGATAAAATCAAAACGGAAAAAGAAAGAAAAAAAAAGCTGTTTCGTATGCGCGTACAACCACATACCAAAAGAAAAATCATGTGTAGTACAGAGGGCGTACACCACGCGTCCACATACATCACGTACAAAGGGATACCCAGCATCTGATTCCATCAGGGATTCAAACTCAGTGATCTGAAACTCCAATCCCACACCTGCTACTATGCAGTTGTGGTGCTGAACACATACAGCTAAGTATTGACACTCTTTGAGGTGAAACATAAGGGTCCATTTACAAAAGTGTGCATGTATGTGCCGGTTTATTCGCACATGCATGCATGTATATGCAGCAGTTTACTACACCACTAGAGGAGCTCTGGAGAAGAGGTATCTTTGCATGTGTAACTCAGCCTAACCATCTAGTTCATTGCTACCCGAAGAAAACGAGACGCAGATACTGGCTCTCTAAGACTGCACTGCCCTACCATCTTCACCTGAATATATCTTTCCATGTGCAACTCGGCCTAACCATCTAGTTCATCGCTACCTTAAGAACATGAGAAGCAGATACTGGCGCTCTCAGACTGCAATGCCGTACCGTTTTCACCCGAACAGAACGGCCGATCATGATATCTGAATTTGGCACAAGCTTCGATCCAGATGCAGCGATAGTGACCGGGCGCTCTATTCACATGAGGACGGCAGTTACCATACTGTGAGGACTTGTGTGAACAAAAAGCTAAGAAAAGAACACCTCTGAACTAAACAGATACCCAGTGAGCCTTCACTGCCCTACCTACCCAGTGAGCCTGCACTGCCCTACCTTCTTTCCCCAAACATAACGCACATGCATTGTACACAAATAAAACGCGTAGGGTGCGTTCTATTTGAATACAACGCATATCGTTGAATAGCCCTAAATTTCAAAGACAACCCATATGCGTTCCATTTGAATTTTTTTTCAAATTTGAAAACTCGAATACAACGCATATGCGTTATGTTCAGGAGAAGACGAGGGTAGTTTCTATACTCAAAAGAACTTGTGTGGACAAACAGCTAAGAAAAAAACATCTCTGAACTAAACAAATCATCCACCCCACTGGATCCTGCAAACCTGCAGAATAAGCGGTTCAGCCAATCTTCCACTGGCCAGGCCATTTCCTAAGCCCTAAACCCTCAGATCCAGACCTTACTATCAGCAGAAAAGACTTAATGACATCATCACATTGAAGTGCCAGCAGTTCCCAACTTCTATTTGCCCGGCCCTGAGAAATCCAAACGATCACGGCACTCAATTAGCCTGGTGCCGTCATCCTTTTTTCGTTTTTTCCCTTCCGCCAGCCAGCCTTTTGACGATGCGCACTCTGACCCTTTCCACAGCCCTGTGTTAACCCGCCGCTGTTTTTCAGAAGGTGTTGTGGTGTAGTTAACCGTCCTCACCCAAATAGAACGCACGGTCATTATCCCTGTATCTAGACTTAAAGTTGTCCTGAATAGAGCTTTAACAACTGTCCGTTCTATTTGTGATGAGAAGACTGTAATCATCATGCCAGCCTAACACACAAAGGTTAATGTCCAGGCAGCATCTCCTCCGTCTCTGTTTGCATCGGTCTCGTTGCTTGTTTCTTGTTTTTTTTGTCTCTTACCCTTTTCTATTCTTTACTTTTCTGTTGATCTCACTCGCTAAGGTCTCCGCTCCGAATCCGAACAGCCCCGTTTGTTTTTCGTTGCCCTACAAATTGATCCCCTTACAATTGTCCCTGCTTAGCTCATGTTTTTGCTGTTCTTCTCCCCTTTCATTTCTATTGATCTCACTCACCAAGGTCTCCGGTTCAATTCCAAGCAGCCCCATTTTTTCTTGTTTCCCTACCAGTAATCAAAACCCAAATTAACCTCCATAAAATTGACCTTCTGCATAGGCCCTGCGAATCTAAGCCCACTACGTCCCATCCCCCAAAATCCCCAATTCCGTAGACCACGTTTTTGGAAGACATGCAATTCTTTCGGTTTTCAAACATTTGAAAAAAGTCCGCTTATCTTTAAAATAATGCATGTGTGGTGCACTTTTCTTTCTTCGAACATTCGAAGAAGCGCTCTTAATGCAAGGCCTGTGTTTTCTTTTCGCCTCTCTTCTTCTTCCATCTCCCTACTCTACCCCCCTCTTTTGCACCTCTTCCCTTCTACCCTTAGGCCTCCCTCAGCCCCTGCCGTTGCCAATCCAGTTCACATCCACGAGAGCAAATAAACTTTCTCAAGGTGCAGACATGGACTAACCAAAATGTTCATCCGAACAAGTCTGCGCGCAATTGAGTATCCACACAGATAACCTGTCTATGTGCATGCACACCCACACTTGTCCCACACAGATAACCTGTCTACGTGCATGCACACCCACACTTGTCCCACGGGGATACACCACCGCCTTCCCTTGAACACTACGCACTCCAATCATCACTGTGTTGTGCGCACAGGGGGAAGATGATGGTCGCCATACACCAACAAGCGATCCATACCCACCACAGATCGAACACAGATTTGACACGTGTGCACATATGGATACATGCATTCTAATTATAGAAAAGTATTCTCATTTTTTTTTATTATCTAGCCAAAGGTACCGCCTTCCTCCCAAAAGACCACAGAGTCCTTATCACTGTATATAGGGTGAAATTTACCACACGATGATGACCGTACGTTCTATTGGGGGGGGGCGAAAGAAGGTAGGTGCAAAAAATTCATAGGAAATTGCTCTGACCAGCATAACGGCATGTCCACCAAACAAAAAAAAAAAAAAAAAAAAAAAAAAAAAAAAAACCTTACCAGCGATGACCCACAGGTCCAATGAACGCAGCGCCATAGAGACTTGTTGTCATCAATCTCCGCCAATTCATCCACTCTGGTTCCTTGGTCTTCTCTCCCTGACAAAACACATTCGACCGGAATCGAACCCAGTAGTTAGTAACAAAAAAAAAACTGGATAAGGCGAGGGGCCCTGGCTGCACTACTGACCACATGAGTAAGATAACAGGCGTATCTTCACCTAGAAGTTGGGCAGATGCATTCGATCCTTTATTTGTCCTTGCACACAATTTGGCAAAAGGTACTCACATTAAAACTCACCAAATGTGTTATATGCCGTGCATCTGCTGCACGGAGGTGGAACCCCTCACCTAGGGGACACTCACACTAGGGAGTTTTCTAAATGAACCTGAATACAATTACGGCCAGACCTGGATGAATCTGACTGCAATCAAACGTCCTAGTGTGAGTATGTCCTGAGTCACTAGCCTCTTTGTTTTCCCGTTTCCTCACATTACCCCTCACCTAGGGGACACTCACAATAGGGAGTATGCCCTGAGTCACTAGCCTCTTTGTTTTCCCGTTTCCTCACATTACCCCTCACCTAGGGGACACTCACACTAGGTAGTTTTCTAAATGAACCTGAATGCAATTACCGCCAGAACTGGATGAATCTCACTGCAATCAAAGGTCCTAGTGTGAGTATGCCCCGAGTCACTAGACTCTTTGTTTTCCCGTTTCCTCACACTTGGCGAGGGGTGAAACGAGGCAAACAAAGTCCAACAGCCGTAATTAAACCACCAGTACTTCCTAAAGTCGTGCCCGTATACAAGCCACGATTTTAGAAACGTACAGGCCAGACCTGGATGAATCTGACCGCAATCGAGTCCAGAACTTGGTAATAAAAGTCCTAGTGTGAGTATGCCCTGAGTCGCTAGCCTTCTTTGTTTTCCCGTTTCCTCACATTTGACGAGGGGTGAAACGAGGCCAACAAGGTCCGACAGCCTTATTTAGACCACCACTTCTTCCTGAAGTCGTGCCCGTATACAAGCCACGATTTTAGGAAACGTACGGGCCACTACAGAAGCGTCCAAATTCATCCGACTAGAAACGTGGCCGCTAGCTGGGCCATAGCACTGGCGGTTTAACCTTCTAAATCGTAAACACAAAAGTTCAAAGGACAAAAAAGGAGAAAACCCTGACGTTACCGTATCCGACATGAAAATCCGGCCTCGCTCCACTACACAACATTTTACGTGCATTTGGCCGCTTTCTCGATCAGGTGCATCTGGAGGAGTCGATCATTTTGAATGTATCGGGTCCTGAAAGCGTCCAAATGCATCTAGAGTGTTGTGTAGTGGAGCGAGGCCCATCGCTTCCAACTCCAGTTTCCTTTACGAATGCCTGCCGGTGTGAATATTTATTCCCTTTTCCTTTTAAAAAAGGGACAAAGGACGACGCTTGGAGATTTTTAATTTTTGGGGGGGGAACAGATTGAGGTATCTGATCGACAGCACCTGAATGAACCTGCTGGACCTTAAACTACCACTACCTCCAATCCTCTTTTTTTTCCCCCGAGCCTCTTTTCTTTCCCCGGAGCCTCCTTTTTTTTCCCCCGAGCCTTTTTTTGCCGAGGCGGGAAAACAAGAAGAAAAAAAAAGCCGCGCTGCCGCTTCCGCAAAGCTTTGGCGCGCAGGTCTTTTCGGAGCCTCTTTTTGCCGATCCGCAGCATTTTTTTTTAACTTTCTTTTGGGTGGCGCCGCCAGCCATTGTGGTCCGGTAGCACTTTTCACCGAAAAAGAACCCGGAATGTTGCATATTAGGTGTTTTTTTTTTTTTTTTTTTTTTTTTNTTTTTTTTTTTTTTTTTTTTTTTTTTTTTTTTTTACATTTTCAGTTCTTGATGTTGCCCTGGAAAAGGAGTGGTGGTCTAAGATATTACGATCAGAGATATGTAGTGGATAAGGTAATCAGAGACTTAGTATGTTCTAGATTAAGACAATGAGACTTCATGCTCTCAACTGATTGCATGCAACAGATGGCTTGGTCTAGGTAGGGATTAATGGTCAAACCTATGTAGTGGATTAAAACAGTTGAAGAAGAGATAAAAAAGAGCCTTTTTTTTCCTTTTCTTTTCTAAATGCCCTTTCAGATTTACTAGGGATGGTGATAAGAGCAGCCATCCCTAGGAAACCTAAGTCTGGCCACTCTTTTTATTGAAGGTGAGCAACACCTGCAGCGTCCCTTGGAAAGTAGCAAAATGGAGTTTAATAGACCAACGACAGTGAACCATAGGAACTGAGGCTATATATGATGTACCTTTTCTTCACCCAGATAGTGGGTGCCAGATATGAACGCTACTTTTTTTTTTTTTTTTTTGAAGGGTCATTTTCTTTTTGAGTTTTTTTTTTTTTTTTAAGGGTCGTTTTTTTTTTTAAAAGGGTCGGCACGCACCCTATTGAAGGGTTCAGAAATTTTGCCAGCCACTGTCTTAATGTCCATAGTGTGCACGTTAGGCGTGGTTTAGGCGTGGTTTAGGCATGGATAGGCCTAAACCATGGTTTAGGCCTAACAACTGTATGGTTAGGCCTAAACCATACGCTTGCTAGGCTGTGGGGTACCAGAAATGCCCCTTCTGGTACCCCACAGCCTAACAAACAGAAGAAAATAGAAGAAGATTTTGCGCCACTGCCCCGGAAAGATGAGAAACCAGCATGCATACCATAGCTACCGACTAATCCAAACCATACCAACTTTGACGTACCAGGCTCATAGAGGAGGGAGGGAAGAGATCTGGAGAGAGATGTGTGATGAAGGAGAGGAAAGAGGTGAAGAAGAAAAGATAAGCAGTTTAGGAAAAGGAAATCGAAAGAGTTGAAGAGGAGGAAGGGGCGTCAGCGCTGTTCCTTGAGCACTTACTCGACGATGTGGAGACGATAAACAAAGGTCGTCTTTGATAACCTTCTTCTCCATGGCCACCGTAGCGTCCAAGCGCTGGGCGATTCCATCTCCCAGACCCCAGAGAATGCCGGATGTCACAATCTGCGTGCGCATGGGCCTCTTCGCCAGCTGGTGTTGATACCATCCCCATGCATTATGCGCGGCGCCTAAGGCCAGGACCATCCTGCCTCTCCCTCCTGTCGTCCTCGTCTCTCCTTCTCCTTCCTTCGATCCTCACAGACAGCCAATCACCCAAACGCAATGAACAAGATCGGCTACAGCTCGACCCCCTCACAAGAACACAATCAATTCAATCACTTCGTTTTCGCCTTCTCAGACAGAATCTGCCAAAACTATGCAGCGTCGTCTTCCTCTCCTCAGCTCACCGGCGGGACTTGATCCAAGCGACGATTTTTGCCCAGGCTTTTTATCCAATCAGAGTATGGTAATTCGACGGACACCCGGTCGAATTGCTCTCTCTCTCTCTCTCTCTCTCTCTCTCTCTCTCTCTCTCTCTCTCTCTCTCTCTCTCTCTCTCTCTCTATCTATCTATCTATCTCTCTATCTCTCTATCTATCTCTCTCTCTCTCTATCTATCTATCTATCTCTATCTATCTCATCTTCTGCTGCGGATCGTTGTCAGCAGACGCCGACACGCGTAATCAGACTTACCCCCTCTCATTTGATCAGGGGAAAAAAAAAAAAAGATAAAAACTCTGCCGCTGAAGCCGCTAGCTGAATGAAAAGGCCGACACCTTCGCTGGACTCCAGATGTACGTCCGGACAACTACGGACAAAAACAAGCCGTAGGGATCCCGGCGGCAAGCTGTGACTCACCCGCTCACCGCATACGATTGCACAGAGGTCCGGATACCGGCAGCCGTATGGATCGAGATCGACAGCAAGGGATACCGGTAGCAAGCAGCGATTACGGCGATATCGTAATATACCAGACACAAAAACAGAACAAGCAGAAAAGGAACACAATCGATGGAAACCAGATGGAGAAATGAATGAATTCAATGAAAACAAGTGGCACGCGACGATCTCCCTCTACCGTCCTTCTCTGTTGTACCACGCGTCCACAACACGTCTTCCTTCTCTTGTGTCACGCATCAAAAGCTCGTCCGTATGTCACCTCCCATGGCGCTCTCCTCCTCGCTCTGCTCCTGGAGGGAGAGAGAGAGAGGAGAGGATCACGCCGGCAACCCGCCGCGTCGCGTCCCGATCCCAACGGACCTGACTTCGTTAGTACGGACAGGGGTAGAGGTTCCACAACGATTGGTTGAATTCGTTAGTACGGACAAGGGTATATTACAGTATTATCCGATCATTGGATAACGCAGAATGATAATGATATGCTCGGATGAGAAGAAAGCAAGCATACACCGAATAAGGCCCTTTTCATTGGATAACGCAGAATGATAATGATATGCTCGGATGAGAAGAAAGCAAGCATACACCGAATAAGGCCCTTTTTTTTGTTCTCAGAGCGCGCCGGCGGGCATGCTACCTGACGTCAATGACACAAAAAAGGGCGAAAAGGAACCGCACCTTGAGGAGGAAAACCTCTTCGAAGCCAGAGTAGTAGACGTGGGGAGACGCCTTCAGACGGGCATCATCGAGACGGAGACACGTGGCGTCTTCTGGACGCATTCGCTGATACTTACTAGGTCTCAAATTCCACCCCACCCACCGGAATCGGCGATACCCACATGCAAAACAGGCCTCACCAGGCGGGCAACTGAGCGCAGCGACTAAGATTATCCCTATCTACCACCACCCCTCAAGAACTTACACTACTACAGTAATCAGATCAATTAATCACACCCCACGTGCCGTTGGGCTGCGCCTGCCCGCAACAACCAGAAATAACCCGACGAAGCAAGAGGGCACACACACGGAGAGAGAGAGAGAAAGAGAGAAAGAAAGAGCGGAAACGCACACACCCAAGGAGGGGCAAAGAGCGAGAGGAAAGGCACACGCGTCGAGGGCGATAGGGAAAGAGAGAAAGAGAGCGCGCGCGCGTGAGAGAGAGAGAGAGAAAGACACACAAACACTGCTCAATAGGAGAGGGGCATTGTCTACCTCCACGGGTCGCTCGCACCACCGGGGGGGGGGAGTGAGAGAGAAGAAAGGCAGCAAAAACTTTCCTAACAGTTCTGCCCCTGGCTGCTAGGAGGCACGTGTCGTCGGGATCCCGTGCGCTTGTATACGGTCTTGAGGCACGTGCTGTCGTCCGACAGAGGGGGCTGAGTAGCGCGCGCTCTCGACACGGAGAGAGAGAGAGAGAGAGAGAGAGAGAGAGAGAGAGAGAGAGAGAGAGAGAGAGAGAG